CCCCCCCCGGCCAGCCCCCATCAGGGCCATCCCGGCACCTCCAGGTCCGTTCCCCTGGGCCACCTTCACCCCTACTCTTGAGTTTCAAGGGTCAGGCGGAGCGGGGGAGTCGACTCCTCTCTAAAAAGCGGTGGGAGCGGGTGGAGATCAGGTGTGCGAGGGTGGGACGGGACGGAGAGGGGCCTCTGAGGCTCTGGGAGAGTGACAGCGCACCCGAGAACAGGTCTCAGGACAAAGGGCAGCGCGGTTCCAGCCCCCGGGCTAATGCGCGGCCGGGTCGCCGGGCTGCGCGAGTTGGGCGTGCACGTTGCACCTGGGAACTGCCGAGGTGACAGGCCACACTGCGCCGTCGGGACAGTCCCGGAGCTCAGGCCTCCTGGCCGTCGGGCCCGTGTTTGTCTTCACCGTCTGCTCAAATGGAAAAGGACCGCCCGTCTCCCCCACCCCCACCCCGCACCCGCAGGTTTGGGTTTAGGAGGCCCTGGCATCGACTGGGTACTGGGGGCTGAGAGCTTACCGTGGCAGGTAAGGCTAAAAGGATAGAGTCCAATTATAAAAGTTCTAAACAATTAACATTATCCTGTAGTAGGTCAGAAATTGTTGAAGTGTGGGTCCTGTAACACTGGTGACAGGAAGGACCATTTGGGGTGTTAGGAGGATAGGACATAGAGTAACATTGACACATGTATTGCCTTTTCAGCTTTCTTTCTGCCTCTCGGATTAAACTATTGACTATGTGACTTTGTTTCTCTGTGACTCAGTTTTCTCATCTATAAAATGGGAACAGTAATAAATAGCACCTACCTTACAGGGTGGTTGAGAAGACTAAATGAGTTGATAGAGGTAAAGGGCTTGGGAAGGTGTTTAGCACATGGGAAGTTCTCAATAAATATTAGCTTCTATTATTAATATTTCTTTTTAATAAAGATCACGAGCCAGTCTCTGGCTTGGTGCCTTTGGCAAGCATAGTTTCTAATTGTTTTTCTAGTATTTACATTTACGGTTGCCTTCTATTGATGACATGAAATATTGATTTTCCATTTGCAACAATGGAAATAAGATTTTTACACAAATAAATTAAGTAAAACATGAGTAAACAGAATTAAAAATAATTGAAATAGCACATTAGGCACATGGATATGGTAAAAATCATGAAGCCAGTATCTGGGTGACAAATTTGGAAAAGACTGCTGGGGGTGGCTGGGAGATGATGTTTTAGAACAGAGAAGTGATATTAAATTATAAACTACATAAAGGTGACAGCAGCAAGTGCAGACACTGTAGGTGTGATTGGAGAAACAGGAAAACCACGGGAGAGACTGTGATGACCGTACAGGAGAGAATTTAGGAGGGCTTGAGCCTGCCCGTGATGTTAGCAGTGGGAAACAGACACAAGGTTCAGAAGCAGAATGCAGGAAGAATCCAAAAGACTTAGCCACAAATCACAGGCCCACAGCCTTATCCCAAATTCAGGGATCCAGGCAAGTTGCAAAGTTTAGAATTTGGGGGATTTGGGTAATATAGTGCATATACGAATACCAACACCTCCCAGTGGGGGACAGGGCAGCACCCTAATAATCAAACACGTGAATATTTCTGCCCCCAAATCTAAGAATATTCTCACCAAGTGGGATTAACAAACACCACAAATAGCCTCATGTCCTTTCAAATTGAGTTTTGGTGCCACCTTTTCATTTCCAGAGCTTTTTGGATTTTAGAATTGTGGATAGGGATTTGTGGGGATTGTTCAGGATAATTCCTCCCAGGGTTTTAGCTTAAGCAACTAGGTGGATGATCATGATGGGAAAGGACCTAGGAAATAGTTTTAAGGAGAAGGTAATTTGGGAACTAGTTATACAGTCTGAATGTGAGAGAACCAGAAACTCAGGCGAGCAGGGGTGGAGGAAATCGCATTCTGGAAGTAATTCTGCAAGCAGGATGTCACGTGCTGAAGCGGGGACTGTGCTCCTGGGCCGTGCAGAGAGCAGGGGCCCAGGGTTGCCTCTGACTTGAAAGGCCCAGCTGAAGCTGGGTTACAGCTTTATTCACCCTGGAAGACTCGTTGTTCCCTGCTCTTCTGCTGCCTGGCAAAACACAGCCTCCCAAGTTCCAGAGGAGTGTGTCTGCAGAGCCATCTAACTTAGGTAAACCTGACCCCTTGCTTAAGTCACACACCTGGCATTAAGAGGAGTACCAAGTGTCTATACCTGTCCACACAGCAATTCAAAGATTCATTCTCCTTGAACCTGGAGCCGTGGGATTCTCTCAGACCTGTCCCCCATGCAGTACCTCTGAACAGGCAACTCCTCTGATCAGGAGTCTGTCTGGCTTTGATTATCCTAAAATTCATCATTCATTGCTTTTGTGCCTTTTTTTAACCTCTCACATCTTACATCTGGGAAAGTAGCATGGGTGGCATGCACCACTCAGAGGTGTGTGTTGTAACCACGTCCCCTCTGTCTAGCCGGACATAATCCCCAGGGAGATAGTAACACAAGAGCAGAGAGCAGGTGACAAGCATGTATTTCAGTAGAAGGTGGTGAAAATAAGAACCAAGGGGAAAAGTAAAAAGAATCAGACAAAGAGTACAACAGGGCAGAGTTTGGAAAAAGAGGGACTGACTATATGGGATTGCTCTTATTGAAAAAAAAAATTATTTTAATTGACGCATTGTAATTGTACACACTTATGGGGTACAATCTGTTGTGTTGATATGTATATATGTTGTATAATGACCAGGTAAGGGTATTTAATGTGTCAATCACCTCATGCATTTATCATTTCTTTGGGGCAAAAACATTCAAAAGCCTCTGCTCTAGCTATTGTGTAACACATAAAACTTAACTGTTAACCATGTCACCCTTGTGTGCCATAGAACACCATAGCTTGGGGCCGGCCCGGTGGTGCACTGCTACAGTGCGCCGCCTGGGAGCATGGTGACGCTCCCGTCCGAGGGTTCGGATCCCACATACAGACCGGTTCCCACTCACTGGCTGAGCGAGGGGCGGGCACAGCACCAAGGTTTGCGATCCCGTTGCCGGACAAAAAAAAAAACAAAAAGGAAAAAAAAAAAAAAAAAAGAACACCATAGCTTACTCCTCCTCTCTAACGGCAATTTTGTACCTGGGGGCCAACCTCTCTCCGTTTTCCCTTCCCACTCCCCTCCTCAGTATCTAGTAACCACTGTTCTACTCTCTGCCTCTACAATATCAACTTTTTTCTTTTTTTTTTTTAGATTCCACATATGAGTGAGATCATGTGGTGTTTGTCGTCCTGTGCCTGGCTTACTGCACTTAACATACTGACCTCCAAATCTATCCTTCCTGCTACAAATGACAGGACTTCAATCTTTTGATATGGCCAAATAGTATTCCATTGTGTATCCCAAAATGTATACCACGCTTTTAAAATCCATTCATTGGTTGTTGGACGCTTAGGTTAATTCCATCTCTTGGCTCTTGTAAACTGTGCTGCAAGAAACATGGGAGTGCAGGTATCTCTTCAACATACTGACTTCATTCCCTTTGGGTACATACCCAGAGGGGTTGCTTTCTCGATGATATACAAGAGTGGCTCAAAAAGTTCATGGAAAAATAGATTTGAGAGATATTAGGAATCCACGGACTTTTTGAAATGCTTCATATATATTATATACATACATATGCCTGTGTGTGTGTGTGTGTGTGTGTGTGTGTGTGTGTGTGTGTGCAAAGTTGGATTCTCCAATGTTGATCTTGGAAGGAAAACCAACCCCTAAGAATCACCTTCTCTTTGGGAATCTTCCTCTGATTAATTACCTCTGTACCTATTATCTCAGCTCAGTGGTTCTCAAAGTATGGTCTGTGGACACTGAGAGAACCCTGAGACCCTTTCAGGAGATCCACAAGACAAAAACTATTTTCATAATTATGCTAAAATGTTATTTGCTTTCTTCACCATGTTGATGTTTGTGCTGATGGCGCAAAAAGCAAGGGTGGGTAGCAAAAATCAAGGCAGTGGCTCCAAACTGTACCACGCTTCAATGTCACATGCTTGCGATAAAAGAAAACAATGCCAGGTTCACGTGAAAATGTCCTTGACAAAGCAGTAAAAATGATCAATTTTATTAAGTCTCAACTCTTGAGTGTGGTTTTTTAATATTCTATGTAACAAAATGGGAAATACATATAAAAAAATTCTGCTGCATACCCGAGGATGACGGCTATTTTAAGAAAAACCCCTTGGGTGGTTTTGTAAGTTGTGCATTGACCTCGTCACTTTTTTTACAGTACATCATTTTTACTTGAAAGAACGGTAAGTTGTAGTTATTCAGATTTGGATATTTAGAACACATTTTCTTGAAAATGAGCAAACTGAGTCTGTTATTCCACGGAAAACCCCTGGCAGTATTAGTTGCCAATGTTAAAATTTGTGTTTCCAAGCAACAATCAGGATTTTGGAAAACCTTGCTGCTGCTGTCATGAGCTCAACAACTTTCCAAATACTTAAAGACTTTTCTGATAAGATTGGTAGTAATACTAATGAGTGTAATTTTTTGATACTGGATAATGAAATGTGGCAATATTTGAAACATCTGCATTAGGCAGGGTAATAATTAACATGAATTTTTCAATGAAAAGGGGAAAAGAAAACCTTTTTTCTTTAACAACACAGAAGTTTTCACCCCCAACCCTCCCTGCACTAAAAAGAATAACCTATGTCAGCACAAACTTATGATTTTGTAAAATCTGGGGATTAATAGACAAAGGAAATTTCTGTTTATTCTCTGTATACTGAGTAATATAAGAAAAGATATATACATGGAACCCTTGTGTTATAATGCTAAACTTTTAAATGTGCTTCTGCCTGTATGCATTGCTTTTGATTTTTAGGTCTTAAAAACAAAATAATGAAGGATTTGCAATAGATAAGAAAAAAGAAAAAGAAAAATCTGCATATCTCATTGAACCAGTATTTTTCCAAAAGATTGATGTCATTTTGATATCAGAAAAAGAAAAATCTGCATATCTCATTGAACCAGTATTTTTCCAAAAGATTGATGTCATTTTGATATCAGAAAATCATGTATGCACAAGAGGTCCATTTGAAGTGGATTATGAAAAGTTCATTGGTAATGGTTTCAGATTCCAATTTGTAGCTCATCTTTAAGAGGCTGCCACTTTTCAGGCTTTCGTATGGTATCAAAGAATATCCACTTTTAGCTGAAAAGGCTGTCAAAGATATTTCTGCTTTAGAAAATATTAGTAGTTGCCAGGGGTTAGGAGGTGAGGAAGCAGGGATGGATGTAACTATGGGTGTAAAAGGGAAGCATGAGTGATCTGTGTGATGAAGTGTGTTGTTTCTCACACATGATGGTGGTGGTTACATGAATTTGCACAAGTGATAAAATTACACAGAAATAAACACGCACAAAAATGCACACATAGAGAACTGGCAAACTCTGAATAAGGTCACTGGATTTTATCAATGTTGATTTCCTGGTTGTGACATTGTACTAAAATTATGCAAGATATTACCAATGAGGA